CAAATCACTAACACAAGTAAATAAAGTATTTTTATTAACTTCAGGTGGAGTGGGCTGCATGCAGTGCTGGACCTAGCAGATTTAGCACCTTAGGATACACCCCACCACCCACCCACCCTCCTAAGAAAAAAGTTTTATTATTACCTTTCATATTTATTACAATTATTACAGACAAGAACATGAGCTAATGAGAAATCAACACAAATAAAAACCTCAGCTAACAAACAAAAAATACGATATGTGCAATTTTGCACATTTCATTTTCTTGTTTCCTTTTTTCTTTTTCTTTTTTTGTGCTATGCCTCAGAAGGCTTTTGCCTTTAATTGAATGTTTTTTTAATAATAATTTAAAATATAAAAACTAATAATTTTTTACTCCAATGCTCTCCATGATACGATATTATCACGATAATTAAATCACGATACAATATTATTACGATTTCAAACATTTTACAATATGCTGAGAATTGTGATAACTTTTATTTTCATTAACATTTTTTTTTAACTGCAAGATTTTGTCCTAAAAGAAAATTTTGTCAACATCTGTTTTATCTATTAAGGTGAAGTTTTACATTTCAAAAATTTTCTTGCAGCAAAATGCACTGAAAAAGCAATTGATTTTATTATTATAGTAGGCTACCAAAAATTACATTTGCATTTCTAATATCAATAATTTATGTAAAATTATTACTCTAAATAATTTATAAAAAATTGATACTTGGTGTCCGTGAATCGATACAATAATTCCATGCAAAATATCGCAATACTATGCTGTATGGATTTTGTTATCCACCACTCCACTCCACTCCACTCCACAATAAACTTCACTGCTCTAGTATGTTCTGACTGTTATTATAAGTCACTGATGAAAATATTCAGTTGAAGTGCATTGCCAGGAATACAGACCTTTGGATTACTGTAACCTTATGTTGTAATTTGTTTTGAATGCCCCCCAAAAAAACAAGATCCATCACTGACTGCATGCATTCTGCCACAATATATTACCCTCCTGATAACAAGAACATGTCTGGAATTCGTCACTTCATCACAGTCACTATGAGTATTCTTCCATTCAGTTTCTTCACAACTAAGAATGGACAAAACATTCACAAAAACGCGCTGATGGAACAATCTCACTTTTTAGTCAAATCTAATCCAAAGAGCCCTCCAGCTCTCTTGTCCATACAAGGCCTGGAAACCACAGCTGGTGGACACATATCTCTGACATTCACCATGTAGGAGACGGCATGTCACCTCCACTGCGTTGATGGCCGGCCGTCGAGTGCCACAGTTTGTGAAAACACCCAGAACACCTGATAATAGAGCTTATCAACCAGCTCACCAGATTAGATGCTGAAACCTGCATACCTTGTCTGTAACAAGACCATGTTTGGTGAGCACTGGTCCACAGTAGATAAACATTAAGCATCATCAAGCTTTGGTGTACAGTGATGATGGCGTGCGAGGTTGAGCAATGAAGCAGGCATGAGAAGCCAGGCTCGCTACGGCGCTTTACTGGTGCGAATCAGTGATCCATTGAGTCGCATACTACACCGCGCAAGAGGGGGGGGAATGCCACTGTTGTTCAGCATGTGAGAGTCATACCAGAGAGGCTGTTAAACTTTGGCTCTCATAAGGTCATAGTTTATGGTTACTTTAGTGTTGTTAAGCACAAAGCTGTTACATTCAGTGCTTTTGTAAACTTTGTGAGTGTCTCTGTGCAGATCGGGATGGGAGAAGTGTCGAAAGACTCAAACACAACAGGTGAAAATGTCAAAGTAGTCACATGATCATCCCTAAAACAGTGTTTATCATACTTAGATTCAACTCTACTTCTCTGACCACAAACTCATGAATCATGTCTGTATGTATGTGTGAGTGTGTGTGTGGTACAGGATGCCCAGAACACGCTGCTCCCCTGCATGCAACACACATCATTACACAAAAGATAAAGTGGTGCTGTCTACCCTTACGTTAATTCACCCAAGTAAATTTAAGTCCCTGCCGGTCTGGATGGCTTCCAAACATTTCCACAACCATTAGATTCCTCTGGCCATTACTCTCTCTGTCTCTCCATCTGCCTTTTACACAATGCAAGAGACGACTCTCGTCTGGTCCCCCTGCACGTGGACGTCACAGAATTACAAACTTGTTTTAGTGGGACTCTTGTCTAGTACTGTCATGAAAAATACGCTATCGACTTATAGAGTTCAGCAAAAATTATCAAGGTCTTGTATCGTACGATGTTGCCCTTGTGTTTACATGCTAATTGTTTAATTAAGAATGTCACCATTTTAGCCAACGAGACACCAGAACATTTGAAGACCCAAATGAACAGACAAAAAAAAAAATATGCTGAGACATGTTTTGCTGTCATTTATTTAAATTTTATTTATTTAGAATATTTAATTTAGTTTAATGTATGAATATTTTTTAGAAGTAAAAGTTCATTGCTCTTTAAAAGGGTGTACTTGCATTATTATGCAATTATATTACCAGTACATCAGTGGCATAAAATGGTCTTAAAATGACAATAGCATCGTTTATCGCAATTATTTCTGGGACGATATATCATCCACCAAAAGTAGTTATCGTGACAAGCCTTTTCGGAGAGCAACTAATAATTATTCTTTATTATTCTTGTCTAATTATTAGTGATTAATCCTTTTCAGGATCATGCAATAAATTGTTTGGTGTATCAAATGTGAGAAAACATGACCGAAATGTTAAATAGATTTTCAGAATAGTTGAGAGTTGACAGATAATTTTACGACTATCGACTGACTGATTAACGGACAAACTGTTTCAGCTAATGAGCAATGTATGAGCTGATAACTAAAAAAGAATATATATTTTTTGTAATGTTTGTTGTTAAAAATGACAAGAAACTATCCCCTTTTCCGGCTGAAACAAAGACGATAAGTTGTGTTGTGTTGAAACATTTATTTATTTATTTCTAATAATTGATTAACTGAAAATAATCACTATAAATTGTAGGGGTGTAGGGGAATCGATACAGCATAGTATCGTAATATTCTTGCGTGGCAATATCGTATCACCACACAGTGCCAAGTATCGGATTTTTTTATTATATAAATTATTAATATTACAAATAAATATTAAACTTTAAGTAGCCTGCTAGAATAGTATAATCAATTGCTTTTTCAGTCCACATTTTGCTGCTGCAAAAAAGAGGCTGATGTAAGATGAACAGACTGAAAACTTTATCAGATGTTGACAAAGTTTTTCTTTGGGGACATAATTTACAGTTGAATAAAGGTAATAATTTGTAATGTATCGCAATATATTTTATTGCAATACTCAGCATATTATAACATATTCAAAATTGCAGTAATATTATATCGTGACATAAGTATCGTGGATCTTCTGGTGATTTAAACACTTTATTAGGGGTGGAATCACCAGAAGATCCACGATACTTATGTTGGTTCCACCTTCTGATATGCAAGAACTTGCTTTTTTTTCTATTTTATAAGACTCTTAATCAATTATCTTTTCATTTTTTAGTGTTGCTCTGAGAACTTATGACCAGCATATTTTCCAGCCTTTTATAGATAAAATGTTTTTTGACTGACTGACAAAATAATGAATAGATTATTTGTTAACGTTGACGCTAATCATTAGTTTCAGCCCTAGGGTAATGTGCTGGTGCATACAAAGGCTCTGAAACACAACCACAGCAGCACCGTATTGAGCACATAAGGTTACAAGGTGAATAAACTGAAACTCTCCATCCAGCTTCCAAGAAGTAAGCCCTCTGTAGCTCGTCTGAGTGGTGCTCCAGTAACTCCCTGCATCCATAGTAACCTCAGCAGTGGACCAAATATGGAATTACATCAGACTGTTTGGCTATTCAGTTACAAAGTGACGAGCAGTACACTGAGCCTTAATCAAATTGCTCCAAGAGAAATATCTGATATAATCCGATATACCTTTCTTACATCACTTGGCTGCGGATGCGCGGAGCTCTGAAACAAGTCTGTCGTCTGAGCTGAGATACTCCCGTGCCAAGGAAAATCACCCCATGCAAAGAGCACCACTACAAACTTATTTGCAGAGAAGGCGATATTACGGATGGAGATTGTGCAATGTTTACAGAGGACAAGAGGAAGAAAGTGGGCTTTTATCCAGCATGTTGGAGAGACAATACATTTTCACCAGAGAGTAAACAAATTACCTCACAAAAAAACATTATTCTGGTGTGTTAAGATGTAATTAAAGTCATATCTGCTAGAGAAGCTACTCTTGCTTGACTGTACTGCAGTGGGGTCTGGGTTACAAAGAGTTATTGCGTACATGTTGCAGCAGCAGTTGTTTGAACTTCAATTGCTCCCTCAGCTTCAGTGAAAACTAATTCGCTCCCCGGCTCTGAATTCCCTTTACTACTGCTTTTCAGTTTTGTGTGAAGTCTGGCTTCGTGGTACAGTAAGCCAGAGACTGGCAACACTTCACTCTGTTGTCAGGTTATCATTAGGCCTATCTAACCTACAATATAGTCCAGAGTTAGTCAGGAAGTGCTTATTAGTGATTCATCAATTATCAAGTCCTGCCTTGTTCCTCACTTTCACATGGGTGTGTGTGTTGGGTATTTGATGTACTTTACTATATAGGGCTTAAAAAAGAAATATATATATGCAGTATGAGTAATGTGGCACACATTAAAGGTGGTATATGTCTAAAAAAATGAGGAAAATATATATTTAACAGGTGCAGTGTTGTGACACAGGGAAAAGCAGATAATACATGTTATGAGCACCATGCAGGAGGTCTAATAATAAAACAGTTGCAACTTTTACAACCTAAAACTCGGACTTTCTTTCACACATTATAATAATTATATAATAACACTATAGGAGCTAAGGTGTGGTGGTAAAACGAAGCTATTAGCATTAGCATGGCTTTCTAAAGGTATCGTTACGGGTCATGGACCGACCTATTACATTAAACCAGCAGGTAGGTGCTCGCGCGCGGCTACGTACCTCCTCTTCGTGGTTGGTGAATTCACTCTGCTCGTTTTCCTTCTCGATTTTGTTGTTATTCATTCTGAGCCGGACTCTTTTCTCACTTTCACTCGGACTGTCTCTTCCTCTGCTTGTCCTCTTCGTCTTTCTGTTTCGCTCTCCAGCCGGGACCCAAATGTTTAAAAAAGCACCCTCCGACAGACAACAGTCCGCGTGCGGCCGCTGTCCTACTGACCCGAGCTTCCCACTACTTTGGCGACATCAATGATGAGTAAAGATTTTTTTCTTTTTTTTTAAAAGAGGGGAAAAAGTGAGCAGTGAGTGGTGTCGTATGTACTGTCAGATATTCCTCAGCATTCCCTGGAAAGCTTCTCCGGAGGCTCTTGTTGCTGTTCCCCAAATGAAACACGGTAAATGTTGAGTGGACTGCGCCGCAGGCAAACTTCTCTCCCCATCTCCGCGTGAGGGAGGAGGGATGGAGGGAGGGGTTTAGGGTGGGGTAAAGGGTGGGATGCACCGTCTGCTGGCTTTATCAAGTTTTATCAAGTGCTGGGAGAGCGGCGGTGGAAAAATCAGTGCCAATCACTGATCGCCTTGTAAGACCAGCTGGATGTTATTTTAGTCACTGCAACATTCCTGCAATATTATTACACTGTGGTGTGTTATTGTTCCCATACATAGACTTAAGGTAAAGCATACCCCATTTTCATTTTATATACACTAATTTTCAAGTCATACCATATGACGCCTTAGGCACTAACTTTTTTTAGGCTTATATGTCAGATATATATGTAAAGTTAGTTCAGGTCTGCATCCAGGATTTTAGAAATACAGATATTAGAGCCTGACCGATACTGGACTTCTGGGGCTGATGCCGATATTAGTGAGTAACACTCCTGAATATGTCGATATATAACATGCACATCTCGGTACAGCAGAGATTTGCATGTTGTCAGAATAAAACAAAAATGAATTCATCTCAGTTTTAATAACTTTTACTGTTGCGTGAACAGTTGTTTTCTAGAACTTACCATTCTTCTACACCTGCACTGAGAAGTGGCGAAATGTTATGTATTTTCCTCTTTTCATCCACGATAGATTGATGGATAGATTTATGTAGATACCTGTCTCTCCAGCCGCATCAGGGGAAGGATAGGTATCCATCCATCCATCTGTTAGTCTATCATCCATATTCAGTGGTTGGACCGATAGATGTGCACAGATTGGGTAACCTAGATCCATATGTCAAAATATGAGTGTTGAATCTATGAATATTGATAAGACTGTAAAACTGTGTTCCAAAAAGATACCTGACAAATCTAAAATACAAAGTGCATCTCATTTAATTAAGTGCAAAAATAGAGAAAATGCACTATAGACAGCTTAGCTGTTACACCATGTTACAACTAACCCCGCTGTGTGGACATTGTATCAAGCCTAGCTAACACTTGCTGGGAGTTGATTACATAGATCAAAATGGTGCCAGGCAACAAGACAGTTATGAAGATGATATACGACTGGATTCTGTGAATTACACAGACAGCCAAGTAACCAAAAAACAAGTATGACAAAGAAATTTACTTAAATCAAAAACACACTGTTACTGAACTCAGCTGAAACCCGTCCAATCTCTTGAATTTCACAGGTCACTGTTTGGCGGTATTGTGGTCACCTGGCCAGAAGCACAAAAGGATTGATCCTGATGATTATATAGGTATAGACAAAAACTCTTGTGACATATGTAATGCACTTTAACAATAAACTTTACCGTTAAAAATGACATCAGTGCATTATAACAGTAAATTTCATTGGTGTTTAATAATTATAAATTATCCCAAACATTTTTTTTCTGCATTACGTTCTGTAAAAAAATAAAGTTTTACTAATAGTGCATAGTGGACAACATATACGCAAATACTGACATATGTGTGATAGGCCAATTTCGGATTTTATCACGACGTATATCAGTCAGACTCTAAACAAGCTCATGAGTCCCACAAGTCAACCCCAGACAAAGACGTCTGATCGGACACCGAAATAAAACCTCCTATCCATACGCTATTGTTATTTGGATTTTGATATTCTATCTATTCAGTTTAGTTTTAGTTTATTTTCTGAATTAATTTCTAACCACCTCTATGTGGTCAGGAGTAAAATTCTGATGGACATAGCATGTAGTGGCGGCATGGTGGTTTGCATGTTCTCCCCGTGTCGGGTACTCCGGCTTCCTCCCGCAGTCCAAAGACATGCAGGTTAATTGGTGACTCTAAATTGTCCGTAGCTGTGAATGTGAGTGTGAATGGTTGTCTGTCTCTATGTGTCAGCCCTGTGATAGTCTGGTGACCTGTCCAGGGTGTACGCCCAATGTCAGCTGGGATAGGGTCCAGCCTCCCTGTGACCCCTACCAACATAAGTGGTTACAGAAAAATGAATGAAGAGCATAGAGTAACTTTATGTATTTATTCATTTTCTCACTTACAATTTGCGAATTCATGAACCTCGTTAACTCAAGTTTGTTGGGTCTGAACCTTCAATATTCACCTGATGTTATCCATGACCAAAACATGGCATTTCTAGTAAAGATGGTGCTAACGACACTTAACTTAGTGTTAAATACAAATTAGGATCAGTGATTTAAGCATACTTAGTGGGCCTAAAACAGGTTGCAACATCTCTAAATGTATTGTATGTTACTCTGTTTAAGGCTACAGCAGCCAAGTTAGCAGAAGCTAATGTTAGCATTGTATGTTTCTGCAAACCAAGGATTACATTTATACATTTTGTACATATCATATCAACGTTTCTAAAGTGACATAGTTCTTTTTATATGTACAAGAGCTGAGTTTGTCATTAGAAGGTGGAAGGAGGCGTTAATGGGTGGTGTGATACCTTGGCAAGGCTGCTGCCAAGCTACTGTTTAAAACTGTTTTTGCTGCTGTTTTTAGTGTTGTTTTTTAGACATTGGCAGCATTTCCACCACTAAAACTGGGTATTTAAAGTCAAAACATGATTTTTTTCCAAACCATACCTAAGTGTTGTTGTGTGCCTAAATATAACCACACGCTAACCACACCTTATTGAAACATTTAAAAATGTAACGTGTCAACATATTTGCTACATAATAATGTACAAATGTCACATATCAGTGGTTTGCATAAATGTACAATGTCAACATTTACTCAAGCAAATGGGTAGCTACCTGCCACATGGAAAGCAGCTAGTAGCTCAATGTGGTGCAATGTGTCTCTTCCCTTTGCTTGAGATTCTTGTTTTTAATGCAAACAAACACCATAGGGTTAATACACTGCCTTTCATACATTATTAGCTGATAGGTTAGTCGACTTATAGACGAAGTAAAAGTTCTACCTGATTAGAAACAGGTAACACCTAACACATGACTCACATTGTAATTTAAGAGTCATTTTTGATTACATTGTTTAAATGTTTGTATTTTCCCAGGTACTTTCCAGGGAACAATCCAGACATGGCTTTGCTTTGGAAATCTGCCACTCACCTGTACTTGAGGAGTCACTCATAACATAAACTCTTAACCTTAAAGCTGCAATACATGCATCAGTTTCGGTCATAAATCTGGCATCACGAGATGTCACATTACCCTGCACACTCAGGACTATTATCTGTTTCTGTCTCAACCCCTTGAAATGTCGCCCTCAGCATAACTCATCATCTGTAAATACATACAGAGCAGTAGACAATTATCAACCCGGTTGTTTAATAAATTTCACGTGGCTGCTGGTATGTCACTTCAAGGCCCCTGAGTCATTCTGTGGTTTCAAGGAGATATTTCCCCTCACATGTCACTGTTGCATCTTATTTCTGTCCACCTTTACAAAAGGAGGCTGTGCACGTCAAGAGTTACTGAAGACTACCTGTACGTTGCTTAAGATTTGTATATGATAACAAGCTGCTCTAATCCATTGTCAGCTCACCCAAGACTATTTGATTTATGACCTTTGAGTGGGGAAACAGCCAGGCCCCGGAGCCATGGAAGTGATGTCTCAACAACAGAGATGAGCAAACACTCTAAAGTTTACTGGCACACCTATTATTGTCTACAGTGCAGGGTTTAAAACAGCCTTAAAAGCAGCGATCAGGTGACAAGGCAGCCTTGAACGCTCCCCCCACGTTTCAAAACATTTATTTTGAGCAACTGCCTCACTTTGTATTTTCGCGATGAGAAGTTCAAGAGCTGACAGTAGCTCGGCAGTGGAGACTTTGACTATATGTTGCGTGACATTTATTGCACGGGACAGACGCTCGCATTTTGTGACAGCCAGTGCAGAAAACAGAGCGAGTCATTTTTGCTGAACTTGCACCCCAAAAACAACAAAGGAAGGAAAAACAGTCATCGCGGATCGGACGTAGAGATTTCTGCTCTTTCCCCTTCCAGATCATGTCTATATCAATTACACTGTATGTGAAGCACACACAATGAAGAAGGGACATGGCAGACTCTTATATGCTGATGAGAAGCAGTTCGGGATGAGGAAAGAGGGAGGAGGGTCTTGGAGTCTTCGAAGCAGATAAAAATGGAAATGTTCCCCTTGCTGCTCAACACCCCTGTATCAAAGCTTCCTGCTGGAGTCTGGGGAGCAAGGAGGGGGAGGAGAAGTAGGAAGGAGGAGGAGAGGATAGGAGTTGGGGGGGAGAGAGAGGGGGGAGATGTCCCAGCTGTGTTTGACAGGTCTCAGGGCTGAGCTGTGTGGTCTGATGCTCTGAGAAGGGAAGGTGCCCCCCCACCACCAGAACGCACACACACACACACACACACACACACACAGAGGGGGGGGAGGAGAAAGAGGAGAAGCTAGGAGACAGTCTGGTCACGATGTCCTGGGTAACATGTCAGCGAGCTTCGACACGAGCCAGCCTTACATGAAGATATCTTTGTGTTATCAACAGACAGCTAGTTTAAGAAGATGCAACAATGTCGGCTAAACTGGTTAGGGAAGCTATTTTTGTTTTAAATTAACTATATTTAACACACTAGAAAGAAATATGCCTCTGCTTTCTTGCTAAGAGAAAGATGTACACCAAGCTCATGCCTGTTCACTAAATATGAAGCTACAGCTAGCATTTCGTTAGCTTAGCTCATCATAAAGATAAGCTGGCCTCTCTCCAAAGGTAAAAAAAAAATCCACCTATCAGCATCTGTAAAGCTTAACATGTTACATAACCGTATTGGCACAAATATAAGATGGGAGATATTAGATGACCTCACCTTTTCCAACAGCTGCTTTTGAGATAGACTTCTTGAAGCTGGTAAACACTTTTAGACTGGTCCTACTGGGAAATATTGTCCAAGATCCCATCAGTTCAAATCAAGGGGAAACCTCTGGGGCTGAAAAATGAAGCTAGCGCCAAGTGCCTATAACTGCAGTTCCTCAAATGGCCACTTGAGGCTGGCTTTAGAAGCGAGTCAGTCCCTGTTGC